AACAAAAAATAGCCAAGGCCCTGTAGCACCCCCTCCGACCCCCCGGGTCCCGTGGGCGTTGAAGACGCGGCCTCGGGGGGCCGTTCTGAGTTCATACTCCCCTCCACGTCTATCCGAGCGACCACAAGCACTGCTCCACGATCCGCAGCCTTCGAACGAGTCTGACAACTGCAGCTTCGTGCCGGAGGGTCTGCTCGCGGAGCTGCTCTGCAGCGGCCTGGCTGCGCAGCGCGCGACGGCGGTGCAGGTCCGCCTCTTTGCGCCCGCGCTGGGCGTCTTCAAGGGCATCCTCGCCGCCAGGCGCGGCCCAGCCACCCACACGACAAACAGGGGCAGAGGCCGGGAGGCGGCTGGGTGCGGCGAAGCTGCCCTCTCTCCGCAGCCGTGGCCCGCCTCTGTCCCTGCTTGTCGTGTGGGTGGCTGGGCCGCGCCTGGCGGCGAGGATGCCCTTGAAGACGCCCAGCGCGGGCGCAAAGAGGCGGACCTGCACCGCCGTCGCGCGCTGCGCCGCCCGGCCGCCGCCGAGCAGCTCCGCGAGCAGACCCTCCGGCACGAAGCCGCAGCCGCCCGACTCGCTCGAAGGCTGCGGCTCGTCGATGAGCTCAAAGTGGTCGCTCGTCAGCTGCCGCACCGCGTGCTCGAGCCGAGCGGGCGACTGGAGAAGCTCGAGGCGGGAGGCGGCCTTGCGCGCGGACGGCAGCGCGCGCCAGTCCGCCCACCGCTCGAGCTCGGCCTGCAGGTCGAGCGGCGGCAGCAGCTCCTCAGACGGGTCTCCGAAGCAGGGCCCGGAGGCGGCGTAGTAGACGCAGCGCATGCAGCGCCGCTTCCCTCCCCAGGGCGTGGCACCGTCGTCAAAGACCCGGCACGCTGCAAACTGGTACGTCCGCCCGTTGTCGACAAAGGTGCGGTCCGGAAGGCGCGGCTGCGAGAGGCCGTTCGGAAGCGGCACCTCGACCACGCGAGCCCGCTCCCCGAGCAGCTCCAGCAGGAAGGAGGTCTCCGTCGCCTCGCGATCGGTGAGCACCGTCTTGCTCAGCCGCAGGCCGGCGAGCCGCGACCCGCCCGTGGACGGCGTAGCGGGGCTGCTCGTCGGGTGGACGGCACGCGGTGAAGACTCTGGCGTCGCCCTCGGAGCGGGCGCGCTGCCGTTCAGGGTGAGGCCTTTGAGAGCTGACGTGGCGCTGGACACGGACACGTTTGTCCTCGCGACGGAGAAGGAGCCGATATCAGGAGAGGAGACGCGGACCATTTTGTCGCACACCTTTTCCACTGTGCCAGCGACGCCGCCGTACTTGCGGGAGCCGCTGACGACCACGGGCGTGCCGACCTTGAGCGGGCTGGCCGGGGAGGCTGCAGGAGGAGGTGGAGTCGACATCGTGCGATCACTTTCGTCTTCGCTCCCAAAGACTCTGTGTGGCGCTGTCGAGAGCGAGGAGGGAAGACAAACGCCGCTGCGGGAGGGGCTTCTTGGCACTAAATTTAGTGCGTGTGAATCACAGGCCAGCGCACAGCGCCATAGGAGGTATTTTCTTCTCAATAACAAGGCTGTGAATGAACTTTAGTGATAGTTTAGTGCGCTATTTAGTGTGTGTTCGAGTGCGTGTGTAGTGCGTCTTTAGCGCGAATTTAGCACATATTTAGCACATATTTAGCACATATTTAGCACATATGTAGTGTGTTTTATCTCCAATTTAGCGCCACATTTAAGTTCACTTTAGGTGCGGGCAGCTGCAGTACATTTAGTGCGAGTTGGCTTGGCGGCAACCGCACGATGTCGACTAAATTTAGTGATAGAATTACAAAAGCGCCCGGGGCCCAACATGGGAGAGAAACACCGCCCGATCGACAAAATGAAGGGGGAAAGAAATCGATATCAGCCGAAACCAGGCGCCGGGTCGCGTCCTGCGGCTCTGTAGAGCTCTACGCCTTCTGCGGCCACCTCGACGAACGCTTCTTTGGCCTTGTTGCAGCCTGCTACCACAATGATGACTTGCGTCGTAGCGCTCGCCTGCGCCGCCCTCCTCGTCGCGCTCATCCTCGCCGCGCACCGCCTCATCGACGCCATTGCCTGCGCCGTCAGCCGGCGGCGTCTGCGTGCCAAGGTCGCCGCATGGACGCCGCCGGCAGTCTCCTGGATTGCAAGACAGCAGAGTGTGGTGGTGATCGTCAACCCAAACGCCGGCGCTGGGTGGGGCGACTGCGTCTACGAGGACGTCGTACGGCCGATGCTGCGGCGCGCGGGCGTCGAGCACGAGGTCGTGAGAACAACGTGCGCCGGCATGGCCGAGCGCGAGGCTGCTGAGCTCGCCTCACGCAAGGTACCGGTCGACTGCGTACTGAGCGTCTCAGGCGACGGGCAGCTTCACGAATGCCTCAACGGGCTGCGCGGCGGCGGCACTGGAGGCCGCACCGCGCTGGCAGTCGTCCCGGCCGGCACCGGCAACGGCATGAGCGACACGTGCTTCGGCCGCGGCAGCGACGCGTTCGAGGCCTTGTGTTCGATCCTGTGCGCGTCTGGGCCGACGCCTGTCGACGTGATGCGCCTGACGTACCCCGACGAGCCGGCGCGGACGCCGCGGCACGACCTGCACTTCTTCTGCTGGGCCGCCTTTGCGGACCACGACTACGTCACCGAGAA